GCTGAAGTCTCTGAGTGAATCTGCTAATTCACACCTTTTTGGAGGGCAGGCAGACGCATTATTCTTAAAAATAAATTCTTTTCTCTTTATGCTCTCACTAATCTATTATAAATAAAGACCCTGATTATGACAGGTAGAAAATACAATCAGTGAGATGGTATCAATAAGAATTGCAAAGTATTATTCCCTCACAGATAACAAAGTTGACTTCAGCAACACAAAATAATACTCTATACATACCAATCAATACCTCTACTAATTCCTTCCACAGAATTAACTGTATCTATATACTTATTACTCTCCTGACCTCAAGTGCAAAAGGAAGTATACACATACCAAAAATTACCCTGGTGGCAATCACTCATCAGACAACAAAGAAATAAGAAAAGTTGTTCAGGGAAACATTCTCTAAATCTCCCCAAATCCTGACTCTATGCTTTCTTTAATAAATGTTCTATTTTAGATTAGTTTTTGATTTATAGAAAAGTTACAAAGACAATAGGGAGAATTCTTATATACCTCACACTCAAGTTTCCCTCTTATCAACATCTTACATAAGTACAGTACATTTGTTACAAAATGAACTGATATTGATACATTATTAACTAAAACCTATACTTTAGTCAGATTTCTTTTGTTTTTGCTTAATGTCCCTTTACTGATCCAGGATCCCATTCAGGATACCACATTACATTTAATTGCCATGTTTCCTTAGGTTCATCTTGGCTGTGACAGTTTCTTAGATGCTTTTGGTTTTTGATGACCTTGACAGTTTTAAGGGGCACTGATAAGGTAATCTTGTAGAATGTTCCTCAATTTGGATTTATCTGATGTTTTCTCCTGATTAGACTGGTGTTACATGTTTTTGGGAGGAAGACAGTAAAGTGTCATTCTCATCACATCATACCAAGGGTACATACTATCAACAGGATATATCACTGTTGATTTTAGATTTTAGCCTTGATCACCTGGCTGTGTGTTTGTCAGGCTTCTCCACTGTAGACTTAACTTCTTTTTCCCCCTTTCATACTGTATTATTTGGAAGAAAGTCACTATGTGCAACTCACAATTAAGGAGCAGGGAATTATGCAGAATTATTTGGAAATCTGCACAAATTTGTCTATTGTTATTTATCTATTTATTCAATTGTGTATTTATATCAGTATATAGATATTTATTTTATTTATATCAGTATATAGATATTTATTTTATACTTTGGGGTTCTAATCCAATACTACTTTATTTTTTTGCTCAAATTATTCCACCTTTGACCACTGGCAGCTCTTTCAGTTGGTTCTTGTGTCCCTTTGACATCACTGTGAGCTGTCTGAGCTCCTCTATACTTTCTGGCACAAGATGCTTCAGGTGCCGTCTTGTATATTTCCTGCCCCAGTCCTAGAATCACCCATTTCTCCAAGGAGCCCTAGTCCCTTTTATCGAAGGATGATATTGCAAGCCAACATCTGGGCACTAGGCATATACGTTTTTTAATACCTATTACTAGAGCTAGACATGAAGAACTTACAAAATGACACATTTTGAGGGCATTAAAATTAATGAAGGAAAGGTGACCAGAAAACTTTCAGCTCCATTTCACAATTCCATAGAAAAACCTAGGTAGCTTTTCTCTTTGGGTATTTATTATAATTCAGAAAGAAATGTTATGATCTTTAATTTTAATGTAGCAAGATGACAAAGGCTAAAATAACTTCTTAATTTTATGTTGTTTTGAGGTTTCAATTTTTTAGCAAGCATACTGCGTTAATCTTTCAAAATAGTATTATGTATTCCCAATGCCTTAATAGCAAAATAAAGTCTATATCTAACAATCTATATGTATGATACTGACATGATAAAGCCATGAGACCAGAAGTTATCTGGCCCCATTCCAGTTTCAAAAAACCGTATGCAGAGGGGCCTGATTAAGAGATTGTCCCTGAGGGCTGAGGTCACACCTCAAAATATCCTCCCTCTTATTTTCCTTCTAGGGTTACAGGAAGAAGACAAGAAATGGAGGCAGGAAACATTTGGACATTAGTGGCAATTAAATAAGGTTTCAGGCCCCACTCTGCCTGGGCCTCCTCCTAGGAATGGATGTCAGTCCAGACCATGCGGAGACAGCTTTAGGATGACCAAACATGATAGCATCTGTTCTATTCAAACCTAAGTACCAGGGTTTCCAAAGACGCTTGCCTACATCTCTGAGATCTCAACAAACTGTGGTCCAACAAAGAAGAAAGGCAGCTGGAGTTCTGGGGGAGGAAAAGTATTCTCATCCAAACCAGACTAGTTATGTAAGGAAATACGTGGAATCCCATGCATACCTGTGATTAGGCTAAAAACATTTGCCTTCATTTTCAATTGCCCACCTGCATCTTTAAGACAACTAACAAAAGCTAGAACCATTAAGGCTTGTCAGCAACAAAAGGCTCAAGTCTCAGGCAAGCTTCTCAAACTTTGTCACATTATATTGTTTTCCCATGTAGTATTTTACTTTAATCTAGTCACAGCTGGGAGACTATACAACACTATATGTGACAAGAGAAGTTATCAGTCACTAGCTGGAATAGTGAAAAGATCCATGGGTAGGAAAAAATTCAGATAGATCAGAGTTTAGGAGTTTTGCCTAAATCCCAGTGCTGGTCTAAGAATCCTGGATGGAAGACAAGAGACCTAATTTTAAATCTCAATTTTACTATTATCTAGTTCTACTAGCACATGTGAATTATTTTATACTTAAAAAAAATTTTTTTTTGCGGTACGCGGGCCTCTCACTGTTGTGGCCTCTCCCGTTGTGGAGCACAGGCTCTGGACGCGCAGGCTCAGCGGCCATAGCTCACGGGCCCAGCCGCTCCGCGGCATGTGGGATCTTCCCGGACCAGGGCACAAACCCGCGTCCCCTGCATCAGCAGGTGGACCCTCAACCACTGCGCCACCAGGGAAGCCCTATTTTATACTTTGACAGCTCCATTTCATCAACCATAAACCAAATGGCTGAATTTATTGAATATTATTGCTACGATTCCATAATCTAGTATACTTTATTCCTGGCCAAGGCTGAGAGAGGTAGCCTTAAAATGATCCAAATCAACAGCAGTTAAGGAGTTAAAGAGAAGACAACCCGAGTTCAGACAATCACGTGGTAGTTTTAAAATTCACTCTAGTGATGTCTACAAAGAAGGTGCTGAGACTCCAAACCTAAACCTGAAATGAGGAAAGAGTAAGGGGTCTAGGAGAGATGAGAGCTTTCATCTTCTGAGGAGTCATAAAACCACCGTTATGCCTATTTGAATGCAATAAACACCGTGTAGGAGTCTTTAGTCATTCATTTCCTAACCCTTATCTCTATGAGCACACTCATGGAAGAGTCATACAAGGCTGGACTCTGTTTATGGCAGGCAGTTATTTTGGTAGGTGTGCCAAAGAAAGAGAAAAAGTGGGGACAGAGAAATAAGAACCAAGGCCCAAGAGATACTGCTGGGGAGATTTCCAGGTAGAACAGAAGGATTCTTCTTTTTTCCTCTTTTTCTATCTTTTTAAAATTGAAGTACAGTTGACATACAATATCATTTTAGTTGCAGCTATACAAAGTAGTGATTCCATAATTTGATACATTGTTAGACGGCCACCACTGTGAGTCTAGTTACCATCTTGTCAGCATACAAAGTTATTACAATGCTATTGACTATATTCCCTTTGCTGTACATTACATCCTGTGACTTCTTTATTTTACAAATGGAAGTTTGCGCCTCTTAATCCCCTTCTCCTATTTCGCCCATCCTGCATCCTCCCTATGCCCCCTACTCTCTAGCAAACACTAGTTTCTAATTCGTGATTCTGAAACTGAGCTTATTTAACAGGTGAAGTACGATTTACTTAGTATTCCTGTGCACATAACAAGATCATAGATGTTAAAATGCAATTCCTTGCTTTTTTTAAATCTCAAAGCCCATGTTTTGAACCCTCTTACACTGTTGGTGGGAATGTATATGGGTACAGCCACTATGGAAAACAGTATGAAGCTTCCTCAAAAACTAAAAATAGAGTTGCCATATGATCCAGCAATCCCGCTCCTGGGCATATACCCAAACAAAACTCTAATTCAAAAAAGATACATGCACCCCTACGTTCATAGCAGCACTATTCACAATAGCCAAGGACCTGGAAACAACCTAAATGTCCTTCGACACATGAATGGCTAGAGAAGATGTGGTACACATATATAATGGAATATTACTCAGCCATAAAAAATGAAATGATGCCATTTGTAGCAACATGGATTGACCCAGAGATTATCATACTAAGTGAAGTAAGTCAGAAAGAGAAAGACAAATACTATATGATATCACTTATATGTGGAATCTAAAAGATGACAGAAATGAACGTATCTACAAAACAGAAACAGACTCACGGACACAGAGAACAGACTTGTGGTTGCCAGGGTGGCGGGGGGGTGGGGGGGAGGGAGGGATAGAGTGGGAGGAGCTTGGGGTTAGCAGATGCAAACTATTATATAGAGGATGAATAAACAACAAGATCCTATTGTATAGCACAGGGAACTATATTCAATATCCTGTGATAAACCATAATGGAAAATAATTTGAAAAAGAATGTATACATATGTATAACTGAGTCACTTTGCTGTACAGCAGTAATTAATACAACATCGTAAATCAACTGCACTTCAATAAAACGAACAAACAAACAAACATGTTTTCCCTTTGAGAGAAAGAGTTACGGGGAGAAGAAACGAAACTAAGTTTCTGCTCTCAAAAATGATCTATAGTTATGAGCTTTTACCAAAGAATTTCTATGTCAAATGATTTAAAAATCAAAGGAAGCTTAAAAAAAAAAACAAAACTGAAAGGTTTAAGTGTATGAGAACAGCATTTTCCGTCAGAAGGATTTCCTGTTTCAGGCAACCGCAGGGGACAGTGTGGGGAAACATCCTCCGGCAGCCACAGCCTGTGCTTCACAGGCCACTTCTCTGTGCTACTCACCCTTCCTCCCCAACAAATGTGACATACAGCTTATTTCTCTGCAGGTCTTTTCTGGAGTAGCCCATAATCTGATTAAAAGCATCTTCGAGCAAGTGATCTCTTCTGATAATTAACCTGTCCAGAGAAAGACAATTTGAAAAATACAGATTATTTCCTAATCCTTATCTTTCCAGAACTGGGCACTTGCCATTTAATTTCCACTTACCACAATTAATTAGGTGAAAAGTGGAGTGACTTACTATCATCGCTATCTGCAATAAAGCACACATCTGTCTGTAACTCTTAATAGCATTAACAAGTTACAACAGAGAATCATTGGTAAATAGAGCACCCCACCTAAGACCTGTAAAACCAATGCAAGAGTCCTTTCTGAATGGTCACATCAATTTATCCCAGAAGGAAAATAATTAAAAAACAACACACACACACAAAACATTTGTTTAGGAAAGGAAGAGCAACCCTAGGAGGTAATGATTTAAGCCTGAATGCACTTAGGAATTCAATTCTTAAGTACCTAGAAAGATAACAGTGAGAACAAGAAGGACAAAAAAATTCTCAGTGTCCTCCAAAGCAGTGGAGTTTACTGTTGTGCTTAGTTTTGTTTTTTTTTTTTTTTTTTGCGGTACGCGGGCTTCTCACTGTTGTGGCCTCTCCTGCTGCGGAGCACAGGCTCCGGACGCGCAGGCTCAGCAGCCATGGCTCACGGGCCCAGCCGCTCTGCGGCATGTGGGATCTTCCCAGACCGGGGCACGAACCCGTGTCCCCTGCATTGGCAGGCGGACTCTCAACCACTGCGCCACCAGGGAAGCCCTGTTGTCCTTAGTTTAACTTTAAAATTAAGTGAATCTTGAGATTCCCTAAGTGACAGATACAAATGAATGATACTGGTGGTTGATTAATCTACTTGTGACAATGACAATTTAAGTCACCCTTAAACAGGTGTCAATTTTCCCTTAATGCAAATAGTAATGGAAAGGGAGATGATAGGGAGGCTGAAGGCATGAAAGCTTGATCAGCAAGACCTTAGTAAGTGAAGCTCAGAGAGGTACGGTGTTTGGGGCGGGCTGATGTTTTCGAGGGTGATGAAAGGGGAACCTGTGAGTTCAGATGAGCAAGCCCTGCATGGGGGGCAGTGAGCCATGTGCCTGCTGGGCTGGGCAATTCTCTCACACACCCAGGTCCCGACGCTTCTGCAGTCAGACCCTCCCTCCTCTGTCCTCTCTCAAGTGGCATAGTGATCTCTAGTGGGGACATGGGACAGGGGTGGAGGTGGGGCTGAAGGGAGTATGGGTAAGTAGGAAGTTCAGATAATTCTAGGCCAAACAACAGGATGATGTTTCAATTTCCCCATTTAAAGGGAGGTGGATAAAGACAAGCAGAAACAACATTCATGACATATTCCGTTGGACAAGTTAAGCTTACTTCACAGAAGGCAACAGAGCTGAGCAGTAGTCCTACACTCAGGTCAGCCCAGGAGACAGTGACGTGCAATAGAAGACACTGTGACAGCCTTATATCTAATGAATATGCAGTATAAGTCAACCAAGAGGTACTTTTCAGGAGAACAAAATAAATCAGCTTTTAATTTTGCCTTATTTTTATGTGAAACATGGTCATCTCTTTCCTGTCTGTTTTAAAACCGTAAGTTTAATTGTGCTTAATTCAAGAACTATGTTTTAGATGATCCTGTAATTTACACATGCCCAAATAATTATGCCGACTAAAACGAAGGCTGGTCATCCCTAATCAATCCATTTCCTACATTCCAAATTGCATCCCATCTTTTCACCATCTACAAATCCTGGGGTTTGTATTATTTTGACTTACTTTAATTTCCCTGGGCCTTGTCCATATCCTTTAGTCTCTAACTTCCTGTAAAAGTTTCTTAGTTTGGCTTCAAAGTCTCGCTTGTAAGGGGCTGGAGCACGGGCATTGGCACGCTGAGTACCTACAACAAAGCACGAAGAGACAAGGGTGTGGATTTGTGCGATGTCCTTATGTTCATCACATCACCATGAAAAATATTACCATGGGGCTGAGACCACAGTTAACAAGTAAAAGGAGGCAATACTTTTAGGTCCCTGCACTTTTCACCTCTCCAAGTCGAAGGCTATCACAGAGCTTAACCAGGATCTTAAGATGTCTTCTTTGTGGCCTTCAAATCCTGTTTGAAGAGTTACAATGGTGCCCATGTGTTAGTCAAATATGTTCCTCTTTTCAGTCCAAATCAATATGAGTCAAACAGTTACTCATGTCTAATGGTAACTGTTCAGGGTGGAATATCTTTGCTTGCGGCTGAGATGATATCACAGCAAATAGACAGGAAGTTATAGTGTGAAAGTATGTGGTATGCAAAGCAAGAACAGTGAGTTTCCATACTTGATGAAAAACCTACAACATTATATTTCATACCGCAGGGTAGAATAATCTTGATTTGAAAACAGAATTCAGCCATAATTGCAGAAGGCACATGTCTCCTGGTTATGCAGAATAAAAATACTGTGATTTGTTGCATTCTTAATACATGCCAAGTACTGTAATTATCTACAGATTATCTAAAGATGTCATGTCATTACATGTCATTCCACGGCAAGCATCATTAATAAAATATAAAAGCAACATGGTTTGTTCCTCTTTCCATAGAAAAACCTGGTTTTGTGTCACACTGTGACTAACCAACGAGCGGGGATACAAAACTGATGATGAATATGGGCATCGGCGCCGTGACAAAAACACTGGGTATTTCCAAGGCATATTTCACAAAACAATAAAAGAAACCAGAAAACAAAAATTGTGATGTCTTGTGCATTACATACCATGTAAGATCCTTAAATATATCTTTATGCATGAATCGACTAAGTGATGATTATTTTTTGCTAATACTGTGTTAGGTTCAGCAACAGATGCTCAGAATGGATAAGGTCGGGTTGCTGGAGTGGATATCTTGGTTGGGAAGACAGAAATAGAACATATCAAACAACTAGAGAATATTTAAGTCTTAAACTAGATGGTATACAAACTCTAAAGCAGAAGGAACAAAACGATAGCCCTGGGGCTATACCCAGCCCTATAGATTTTGTTTGCCACACAATGTTCTAAAGATTTTAAATTAACTGCCAACATTTAAGAATGAGGAGATTTCAAGTAGAAAAAAAAAATCCTGATTTCTCGTGAAAGTCAGTTGGGAACTCCTGCAACAACTGGCTTGCATTTCCCTGGGGCTACAGAGGGCAGCTGCCCCATTAGGTGAAGCACGTGCTCTCCACTGTGCCACCGCCACTCAGTGAGGATGCATCTGAGATCAGTGTTATAGAAAAGTAACAGTAAATGAAGATAAGCAGAGATCAAAATGGAAAAGACTTCAGGGAGGAGATGTTATTGGAACCAGGCCTTATAAACATGGGAGAACTATAGTCTATACTGGGGCAGGGCAGCAAGAGCTGGAATAAGCATTGCCTGCATGTTCAGAAGACACGGAGGAGACCCCACTAACCTAGAGCAGAGGGGGAGTGCTAGGACGTAAGTAGGAAATTAAATTGGTCAGAAGTTTGGTATGAAATTATGAGAAGAATTTTTAAAGACCTAGCTGAGAAGTGTGAGCGTGCCACTTCTGCGCCACCAGGGAAGCCCAATATAAAGCTTTTTAAACAATAACAATAGCTGTCATTTGTTGTGTCTGCTATGCATTAAGGACCATTCACTTTACAGAGAGGATCTTGGGAAATCCTCACAAGTCTAAGAAGCAGGCATTAGTATTATTACTGTCATCACCACTTTGTAACTAAGGAAACTGAAGTCATATGACAGTGAATAGTAGATTTAGGATCTGAGCCAGGTCTGTCTGATGCTAAAGCAGCATGGGAAATGATGCTGGTGGACAGGAGCATATGAGGCTTTCTACATACTAAGCTGGAGAGGACAGCTGTTCAGGTGGATATACCTTGCGGACACTTGAAAATATAGTACTGGAGTCCCAGTGAGAGATCTGGGCCACACTTGTGGACTAAATGAGTTAGTGTATGTGTGGTATGGCACTTCGCGCAGTGCCGGCTGCATAAGCAGCCCCATGTAAACGTTAGCTGTTATTGCTATTATCTGCATAGTTGTGAATACTAAACACATGGGGAAATGTACTGAGGTCGGGGAATGGAATTTAATAAAATGGGCTATTGATGAATAATATGTCCAGAGTTCTGTTGGCACAGTTATGAATCTTTTACCCAAAGAGCTAAGAGCTATGCCATAAATGAAACAAATAAACTGGACCTTAAAAGGTCTGGGATGCAGAAGACTCCTAGGCAGTGGTTCTCAATCTTGACCGCACATTAGAATCACTTAGGGAGCTTTTAAAAATCCCAATGTTCAGGCCACAGCCAGGACATATGACATCAGAATCGGTGGGGGTGACACCCAGACATTAGTGTGTCATGCAGCTCTCCAGAAGATTCCAACGTGCAGCCAAGTCTGAGAACCATTATCTCCCACAAGAAGGTCAAAGGTAACCAATGAAACACCTGGGCATCATCCAGGGACCAACACAGGGGGAATACTTCTCATGTATTTGAAAGGTATCATTTGCAACATGAAGGACCATGATCTGCATGGACTCTGGGCTCCTCTCTTGGATGGCTGAGGGACAGAGCCATGCAGCACAAGTCCAGTTAGAGTGGTAGAATAAAGCTTTTGCTGCTGCAGTCTGAGTAACGGCAGACTACTAAACCCAGACAGCTCAGAAAGCAGCCATAATGAATCAGCTTTCAAGAGCGCGATCATTGATAGGGAAGAGGAAAAACAGGAACAAAAGACCGAAAATCTTTCAGGACTCAAAAGAAACCCGATTCTTGAAGAGTTGATTACTTTCGAAAAACAGCACATATACTATTGCTATATAATTTGAGATGCTTAAAAGGATGTGGCAAATGCCATAATGCATTCCATCAATATCAATACAGACACTTAATAAAAATTAGCTCTGACTCCTTTTAAGCTCTAGGTAAAGGAATTCAATTATGGAGGCTCTGGAGACAGAAACTGTTAAATGCAAAAATTCTTTTGCCAATAGTTCTATGATGAAAAAAATCATTTACACATTACATCATGATTTAAAAATTACAATAAATTATGCTGTTGGCCCTTGTCAAATTCTTAATGCAAGTCAGGTGCAACTGCCAAGAAAATCCAGGGCAGAAACAATATTACTTCCACTTTGGAAATAAAACATTATCTTGGAGACTGAGCTCACAGAGCTAAGAACCATAACTGTAAGTGAAGTTCTAGAATATAATTCTCTTATAGAGAGAGTAATGGCATAGTCTTTATGGTCTTAAGAAAGGAAGTCAGATACGAAAAGGTCAACGTTACATATAGGAAGTGATCAAATGAAAGGCTGGTTTTATGGATAGTCAGTATTATGTTAATTATTTATGGGAAAAAATTTCAGTAACAGATATTAGACTTTTTAAAAATCATTGCTAGGCAGGCCTAAAGTACTTCCATATAGTGTTACACTATTTCCACATACTGTTAAAAAACTGCACAATCACATACAAACTAAAGAATTCTACCAGGCAAAGGATTTCTTTTCTAGGTGATACTAGAAAAACCTTGGCATCAAACAGCTAAGAAGTCTGGATCTTTTTTGATGCTGGGTGTGCCACCCAGGACCCAGAATGCTCTGATGACTTGCTCTTGGTCTGCAATGGAGGGGGATGAAGCTCAGCCTAATTCAGCATGGTTCCAGGCCTATGTACTGGGATGGCTCAGAAGAGAATTTCTTTTCTGTTCACTTTCTAAAACAGATAAACTCTATGACATTTTTTTTTTTTTTTTTTTTTCGGTACGCGGGCCCTTCTCTTTTTTGGCCTCTCCCGTTGCGGGGCAGCAGGCTCAGCGGCCATGGCTCACGGGCGCAGCCGCTCCGCGGCATGTGGGATCTTCCCAGACCGGGGCACGAACCTGTGTCCCCTGCATCGGCAGGCAGACTCTCAACCACTGCGCCACCAGGGAAGCCCTCTATGACATTTTTAAAACAATAATTCCCTGTTAGTGAATGAGAACAAATTATCAACCATTATAATAATTTCTGGAAAACTCTATCTTATGGAACATAGATCAACAATGGAAATTAAGAAAAAAACCAACCAACCAACCAAACAAACAAAACCTCAAAAAATAGCTGGCACAAAGCACAAGCAAGGAAGTCCTGGCATTTTTGCTTTATTCTCTAAGAGTAATAAAAGGCCCTCAGGTCATTGTTTTGACCTTGTTGATGCTTCCATTTACCTACCATTTATTTATTTGATAAACTGATTTTTCAAATGTTGGCAAATTAAAAGCAATTTATTAAAAGGGGAAAGCTGGAGGGCATGCCAGTGACAGGCATCTTCTGAGAGCGTTAGGGGTGGGAAGCAAGGGAGAGTAACAGCAACAAAAAACACAAAAATAAAAATACCTGTATATTGTGACAGAGATAGTATTTGGTTTTCCTCCAGTCTCTGGAATCATAACTCCCCCATCCCCACCTACCCAGAGAGCATCCTTCATTTGTACTGTTTGGTTCCTAGATCATCCCTGTGGGGCTTAGCAAAGAGAAGGGATAGAACACTTTTTCTAACAACAAGTATAAAGCTGCTTCAGAGACTGTGGAAAAGGGGAGGGATGGAAGAGGGAGAAGGGAGGGTGGGAGGAAGTCAAAGAAGGAGGAAGGGAGAAGAGGGAGAGAGAGACGCTGAGAGAGAGAGAAAGGGAGGGAGAGAGGGAGGGAGAGATGGAGGGGGAGAGAAAGTGAGGAGGAAAGGAAGGGGGAGGGGAGGGGAGGGGAAGGAAGAGAGAATATTTGTGAAAAGAGCCGATGAGATAAGCAGCAGCTGGGATACTAAGACTTTGGAGGAAGAGAGGGGAAAAGAAAGTCCTTAAGGAGGTGCACTGTGTGTTGAGAGAAGTAACTGCCCTGAAGACAGCCTTTGGTAAAGACCCACACAGCTCTTCAGTGCTCTCTCGTCTGTTTTACTTCTCTTGAGTGTGATCTGTTGCTCTACTGGCTTCCAGAGTGTCCAGTTCTAGTCAAGTTATAACAGCTCTGTATGCTGATCCCCCCGAACCGTGAAATATCCTCAAGGCACTGTGTCTAGGGAAGCAGGGAGAAGTATAATGTATTTATGAAAGAGTCTCAGCAAATGGTGGGTTAAACAAATTCTCAGATGTCTAATGTCACAGCTTTGGTCACGTGGAAAATTCACATAAGTAAGCACGTCTCCAACAATATTAGATAAATTAGGTGTTCTTGCATTTCAATTCCTAGAAATGTACAGCTACAAAAAGTCCTTAAATAAAATTCTGGATCCTATATTTGGCATAATAAACCATATGGTAATTGGAAAGATCTTTTCCTTCTGGCATAGCTAAGGTTGGGACTGGCATTATAATGGTCCTAGAAAAACAAACCTTCACATTCCAAAATTTTGACAAATTTTAGGTGAGCACTCTAACAGCTGCAAAAAGCAGCGAGTCCAAGTTTCCAAAGCCCCTCTCTCTCCTGCACTTGAAAAGGCATGTAAATGGGCTTGGAATGGGGAAAAGTATGGAAAGTTTAGCAGGTTCCTGGGTGTTCTGAAAGAAGATCATTAAAATTTATGATTGTCGTAATTTTTCCAATATTATTCCCATACCACTAAAAGGGATGAAATTCTAGTCACAAGGAGGATCAGACAACTTGAAAAAATCTGTTAGAAATGTTTTCATAAGAACTTTAGGAGTACTGGTAGAAGAGGTTATTTTACTCAAAGAAACAGAAGATCCCTCCACAGGGTAAATAAGGCTAGTCCTGCCCTTGTTTCATGTGGAATTAGTTAAAGTTACTTCCATTGATATCAGGCAGTACATCCCGATTTCAAGATCAAATAAAGTCCACTGAAATAGAGTAGGCCAAAAATATGGAGATGATTCTTCCTGAAAATTAAAACCACCACAAACACTGCTAGCAATTTAAATATATTTGGGTTAGACATGTCTTTGGAAAACGTTTAACTCTCAATCTGCTTCCAGAATGCATTTATTACCACCATGGGTTACTTATGTACATTTGTGATGCTACATGAAAAGAAGAAACTTAGTCACCATTTAGAATGTTCACAGAGTCTCAAGTCCAGCCTGTCACCGAGAACACATGCCTTTGCAGGGCTCAGAAGGGAAAGAATCCGGTGAGCTACTTTTTCTCTAGGAGGAGGGGCCACAGAAAAGGTCTGGAAAAGAGAGCTTTGACTGGGATGAGCAATACTCCACAGAGCTTCATTCCTTTAGCCATAAAGCATGAGGTGAAGGGACAACCCATTTAAACCCCCTCGTAGGTTCTAGCTAAGATTAAGGCCAGTCAGAATGATTAAATATCTAGGCAGTCAGTTCTGCAAACATGATATAGATTTATATATATCAGTTATTAGTAGTTCAAATATTGACAAATTAGACTTCTCAGATTTCCAGAAAGAGAGAAAAAGGGATAAACTAACATTTATTGGATGCTTGACATGTTTTAGGTACCAGGTGAGGCATTCTCCTCCAAATAACCATGGGAGGTGATTACTATCATTCCCATTTTAAGGAGCAAGAAATTCAAATTCAGGAAAGGAAGTAAACTGCCCAAAGTCACACACAGTTGGTAAATGACCGAGGCCAGCTGTGAATTCCATTAATTTTTCCCCTACACCTTTACACTTACCCATAGAGCCATATACTTATTTTCTTTTCATCCTGTATCATCAAAATAAGTGTCCCTACTTTGTTCCAAAGTTGACCTGTGCTTTGCCTCCAGTGTCCTGCCTTCCCACGGGCCTGTGCTGTGCTGACCGCTGCGTCTTCGCCCCATTCAGCAAACCACTTTCCTTCCACCCACATTATCTGACCTCCGCACACACATGCTCAACTTCCCCATCCTAAAATCCCTTCCTTAATTCCTCTTCTCCTTCTAAGTACTGCCTTATTCTGCTTCACTTCCATATTTCATGAAGAGAGTATTTTTCATGCCTGTTTTCTACTTTACATCTTCTAGCATCCTGTAACTGGTAACATTCCAGTTCATGACCTATTAATTCATAGAAACTGCTTTGGCAAAGGCCACATATAACTTCATGATTTTCAAATCTAATGGCCTCTTCTCAGGCCTCATCCTTCTTGACTCCTTTGAACACCTGGCCCTGTTGGCCACTCCTTCCTTCTTGAAACATGGCTTCCCCGAAAAGACTTTCCTAATTCTCTTCCAAAATCCATTGGCTCTCTCACTTTCACTTGCACCCTCAGCCCCTCCCTTAAATATTGGAGCTGCTCATGTCACCATCCCCTATTTTCTCTTCTTTTCACTGACCTGTCCTCCCTACTTCCTCTGTCTACCCAATGGGCTTCAACTGCCGCCAGCACACCTGTATTCCTAGCTGCTAACCTCCCCTGAGCTCCAAGACTCTGTTTCCAGTTGTCTTTGGGTTTCCATCTCCAGTTGGATGGCCCAAAGATTCTTCAACAAAACATGCCTCAAACCAGCCTTTCACCTCTCCCCTCCAGTCTAACCCTTTTTCCTTTCTTGGTAGATGGTGTTACCATCTGTCTAGCAGTCTATGTGGTGAGAACCTTAGAATTTGCCTTGACTTTTCCCTACTTGGACTTAAAGTTCTAGAATCTCTACATCCAACATAGCCTTTGAATTAACTCCCTTTTCTCTATCACTGTTACTCCAGCCCTTATCATGTCACCTGGGTTAATGCAACAGCCTCCCAGATGGTTTCTCTAACTTTAGTCTCTCGTCTTCTAATACATCCTCCACATGGCCACCAAACTGAACTTTATAAAACAGGATATTCCTGTTGGTAAATTTTCAGTGGCTCCATATGGAGTACAAAGTAACACTTCAGTGGCCAACCAACTCTAGCTTATCTTTCCAACCTGCGCTTTGAGAACTTGCCTTTACTTGTATCTATTAATTTGTCCTAAACTACTTTCATGCTTCTGTGGCTTAGCTCATGCTGCTCCTTAGAATGTCCTCGTTCCTTTGGTCCACCTGGTAAAATCCTATTCATCATTCTTCAAGACTTCCCTTTATACCTTTCCCCAAACACCCCACCCCCATCTTGAATGAAGAAATGTTCCCACACATTTCTTCATTATAGGACTAAACACAGAGCTTTTGGAGTCACTTGTTGACTTACTGCCCCACCGTGAATTTTCAAAGGCAGAGACTGTATTATTCATCTTTGTAGAACCAGGGTCTAATTCAGGGCTTGGATCATAGCTGGATGCTCAATAAATCTCTATTAAATGAACAAATTAATAGACCTTTTTCTGTTTGCAGTATTCAGTTAGGCTGTAGCTTCACTATGAGACCAATATATGAAACAGGTGTTATATATCAGAGAACACAGAGCAGCTTTTAGTGACACATACGGAGTTTGGATTTCTATTAAAATAGTTTTAAATTCTGATAACTGCTACAGTATGAACTATATATGGCTTATAATAAGGATAAATAGAGCTGATGTTCTGTCAACATCATGACTACTTTCCTTAAAAAATAACTCATTTGCTAAGCTGCATTATCTACTATTTATTCATTCATCCATTCATTCCTCCATTCACACCATACCCCTTTCAAAAAGAATTTAAACTTAAAATTTTTAGTTAATTTCATCTATCAGCATGTTCTACCTGCCCATGTATCTCTGGTCTTCCTATCTAATGCAGTTAGTAACTACTGAAGGGAAAAAAATTATCCAAGACCATTAAACTCACTAATTCTAATTCTATAATATTTCTTGAAAATAGAGATTTCTCTTTATTATTCATTGAATCAATCTCCTAACTAGAACTTTTTAAATCCAAAAAGCTAACATAGCATTTTGTGCCCTAATATTTTCCAAGATATATTAGGCACTACATAACATAATGAAAAGTAAATTCTACATCTGAGTATTTCATACTGCTGACATTTATCCTATTTTGGAATGTCATTATTTTCCTGTCAAAATAAATCCCCATGGAAACAAGCCAGTTTTAAGAGACAGGAAGCACCACAGAATATGTACCTGTGCTAACAGTACAGATGTACCCAAAGTGTTCCCTTACTGTCCTTTATGAAGACAGAACATGTGACTTCAGGGCTCACTCCTCAGAGAAACTGCATGCAGCGGGTGGACTCACCTGGTGAGTTCTGGGGAGAGGACACAGGAGAGCCACGTGGGGACTGACAGTAGCTGGGATGGAGTAAGGCATGTGGAGGCACATATGACATTATCTCTTCTTCAAATAAACTGGGGAAAGACAAGAAATAAAATGCATACTTTAGCCAAAGAGGTGGGTAAATGCCTTGTTTCTGCAATGAGTAAGTCGATCTCTCGCTCTGACCAATTCCATCTGAGGTCCATTTCACGTCCTAAAGAAAGCACCTGTCCCCCTTCTCCTGCAGGTAATTAGTGGGACAAAAACAGTTTGCTCTTGCATCTTTTGTGAAACCTGTGGTTATTTGCCTGTTTTCCTACCAACTTTGGACAGCATGATCTCTATTTTGTTACTTTTTTTTTTTTTTTTTTTTTGCGGTATGCGGGCCTCTCACTGTTGTGGCCTCTCCCGTTGCGGAGCACAGGCTCTGGACCCGCAGGCCCAGCGGCCATGGCCCACGGGCCCAGCCGCTCTGCGGCATGTGGGATCTTCTCGGACCGGGGCACGAACCTGCGCCCCCTGCATTGGCAGGCAGATTCTCAACCACTGCGCCACCAGGGAAGCCCCTCTATTTTGTTACTTTAAATGAGTTTGAGTTTGCACGTTCATCTGAAAATAGCCTGGATTTTTACGTCTAGGAATATGAGTCAAACACAAGAGACAATGTTTATGGAAGACCCATAGTAAATACACAAAGTATGTTCATACCTTCATTCCAAGGCACATACAACATGGTCTCAGCCTTCAAAGAGCTCGGGATTTCTTTGCAGAATTAAAAGCAAAATAAAACAAAACACCTCTTAAATAATTACAACTGCTAAATAATAAGCTTCCTCATTTAGTCTGGCTTTATAATGTTTTTCAGATGTGAGGATTTTGATGTTATTCAACCTAGTGTCTTCTTTCTCCTCCATACTGAAATTTCTGTTTCTAATACTCTCCTAAAAGATAGTAACCAGGGATCTGAGATCTTGGAATCCTAGACTTTTCATTAACTGTTATGATAAAGAAATGTACTACTGATTATCAAATATACAAACACTTGACAAATAGAATCAACAATATAAGTAAGAGTACTTGTGTTTTTTAAATTAAGAGTAGAAGTAGCTTTCCCTCAAATTTGGTCACATCTAGAAACCTGCTACTTGTTTTCAAAAAACATTGAGAAAAAGTGCCAACAGTTTAGTCTTGCGAAGATTTAAGGAAAGAACTCCTCAGGGTTATAGCACTGGTTTTCCACTGAGGCTATTTTGCCCTTCCCCACACTCTATGGGGACATCGTACAATGTCTGAGGATGTTTTTGGTTGTCGTAACTGGGAGAGGAGGTGCTTTCGGCATCTAATGGGTAGAGGCCAGGATGCTGATAAACATCTTACAATGCACAGAATAGCTCCTTGCAACAAAGACATATCCAGCCCAAAATGTCAATACTTTTAAGGCTGAGGGACGCTGGGTTACAGCAATGCAATAACAACCTGATAATTCTTTCTCTGGTTCTTCATTCACCTGCACACGTCTGCTAAACCACTATAAACCACTATCACAAAAACATTTTTAGACACCATAGTTTTTTAAGCCATATTTCCACTTTTAAACTATAAAAGTCAAAAGATTTAGAAACAGAAGCAATAAGTAATTGTATTTGTAATACCAAATTAAGCCCTGAAACAGTCAATTCTCTTTCTCAATAAATCAATAACCATTGAAATAATGTGAATTTTAAGTTGATTGCTAAGGAAAAATGCCATATAAACAGTTGATACCATAAAGGTCTAGAAATTCATAGCTAAATTAATTGAAAAGTAGGAATTAGCACCCTCTCCTCAAACATCCATACCTGTGTCCTTTGCTCCATGACACTTACTTCCTTTAAATACAACCAGTATGCAGAAATCGTTCTTATCGAAATTTTTTTACTTGAAAAATTTAATATAGGAGAGATAGCGAATAACATAAAAACACTCAATACATATCATCCAGGATTAGTACATGTTAACCCTATTACTTTTGCTTCAAACACACATGCATACTTAGAGATGTCTATATATCTATATATAGATGTATCTATATATCCGTGTGTATGCATGTTATGTATATGAAGTCCCTTTTGAGTGCCTCTATCATGACTTTAACATATCCTTCCATAGTCTGATATTTTGCAACATATGTACAGACGAACAATATACAGTTTTACCTTATGCGCTGCTAAAAAATTAAATACTTTATAAGTATACTGAATTACTGAACATTTTTTATTCAACAATATATTTCTGGTATCTGTCTGTGTTGATATATAAGGGTCTAATTTACTACTTTTACCTGCTATGTAGTATTCCATTCTATTAATGTATTAGTTTATTTATCCATACCTTTCTTGACAAATATTGACTTTTTCCCCAACTGTATGCTTTTTATCAATAATGGTGCAATGGATATCCTGTATGTATCACCTTGTATACATGTAATACAGTTTCTTAGTGTAAATATGGTATATATCTAAAAGCAGAGTTGCTCAGTCATAGTGTGTATGTCTTTTTTTTTAATAGATCTTTATTGGAGTATAATTGCTTCACAATACTGTTAGTTTCTGTTGTACAACAAAGTGAATCAGTCATATGCATACATATATCCCCATATCCCCTCCCTCTTGAGCCTCCCTCCCACCCTCCTAATCCCACGTCTCTATGTCATCGCAAAGCACTGAGCTGATCTCCCTGTGCTATGTTGCTGCTTCCCACTAGTTAACTGTTTTACATTTGGTAGATGTTGATGCTATTCTCACTTTGCCCCAGCTTCCCCCTCCCTTACCGTGTCCTTAAGTCCATTCTCTATGTCTATGTCTTTATTCCTGCCCTGCCACTAGGTTCACCAGTACCTTTCTTTTTTTTTTAGATTCCATATATATATATATATATATATATATATATATATATATATTAGCATACAGCATTTGTTTTTCTCCTTCTGACTTATTTCACTCTGTATGACAGACTCTATGTCCATACACCTCACTGCAAATAACTCAGTTTCGTTTCCTTTTATGGCTGAGTAATATTCCATTGTACACATGTGCCATATCTTCTTTATCCATTCGTCTGTCGATGGACACTTAGGTTGCTTCCATGTCCTGGCTATTGTAAACAGTGCTGCAATGAACACTGTGGTACATGACTCTTTTTGAATTATGGTCTTCTCAGGGTATATGCCCAGTAGTGGGATTGCTGGGTCATATGTTAGTGCTATTTTTAGTTTTTTAAGGAATCTCCATAGTGGCTGTATCAATTTACATTCCCACCAACAGTGCAGGAGGGTTCCTTTTTCACCACACCCTCGCCAGCATTTATTGTTTGTAGATTTTTTGATAATGGCCACTCTGACTGGTGTGAGGTGATAGCTCATTGTAGTTCTGATTTGTATTTCTCTAATAATTAGTGATGCTGAGCATCTTTTCATATGCCTCTTGGCCATCTGTATGTCTTCTTTGGTGAAATGTCTATTTAGATCTTCTGCCCAATTTTTAATTGAATTGTTTGTTCTTCTGATATTGAGCTCCATGATAGCTAAAAGCAGCGCTGCTCACTCATAGTGTATATGTCTTTTTAACTGTACAAGATATTGTCAAATTGTCCCCCAAAGAGGTTGTAGAAATTGCAATCCATTGAGTCCAGAAAACATGGAGTTCCTACTTCTCACTTGGTATTACCAGACTTTTTGATTTTTTCAAATTTAATAGTATGAAATAGTATCTCATTATTTGAAATTGCATTTTATGATTACTAGCATCTTTCCATGAGTTTATTGGCTATTCATGCTTCAATTCCTTTGAAATGCCTTTTTATATTCTTTTTTTTCTTTAATTTCTTTATTTATTTTTATTTTTGGCTGCATTGGGTCTTTGTTGCTGCATGCGGGCTTTCTCTAGTTGCGGTGAGCGGGGGCTACTCTTCGTGGCAGTGCGCAGGCTTCTCATTGCGGTCGCTTCTCTTGTTGCGGAGCACAGGCTCTAGGCACGTGCACTTCAGTAGTTGTGGCGCGTGGGCTCAGCAGTTGTGGCTCAGAGGCTCTAGAGAGCAGGCTCAGTAGTTGTGGCGCATGGGCTTAGTTGCTCCGCGTCATGTGGGATCTTCCTTGACCAGGGCTCGAACCCATGTCCCCTGCATTGGCAGGCGGATTCTTAACCACTGCGCCACCAGGGAAGCCCCTTTTTATATTCTTTTTTTTTTTTTTTTTTTTTTTTCGATACGCTGGCCTCTCACTGTTGTGGCCTCTCCCGTTGCGGAGCAACAGGCTCCGGACGCGCAGGCTCAGCGGCCATGGCTCACAGGCGCAGCCGCTCCGCAGCATGTGGGATCCTCCCGGACTGGGGCACGAACCCGTGTCCCCTGCATCGGCAAGCGGACTCTCAACCACTGTGCCACCAGGGAAGCCCCTTTTTTATATTCTTTATCCATTTTTCTTTTGGGTTATTTTCTTTCAAATTGATTTAAAGGCATGCTTTATGTATTCATGATATCTTTGTTTTATGTGTTGTGAATATATTCTTCTAGTTTGTTGCCTTCTTTATGCCTTTATATGTGGTGTCTTTCATTACATAAAATTAAGAATCCTAATGTAGCCAAATTTATCAATCATTTCCTATATAAGCTCTGTTAAAGGCACACTTCTTACATTAGTTGAGTTAGTGACAGAATACATGAAATAGAATAACAAATACAACAAAGTTATTTTAAAGTTCTTGAGTTTTGTAATAGCTATATTGGAAAATAACCTTACATGGGTTTATTTAAAAATGAATAATTTCCTAGAGCTATATCATTTCTACATTGCAACTTGCTGATGATATTCAAGTCCATTTGTACCAGGAGTGACTTTCCTTTTTAAGAAATAGACAATGTATATAGGTAAAAATTAAATAAGATATAAGGATATAATGTACAGCACAGGAAATATAGCCAGTATTTTTATAATAACTTTAAGTGGAGTATAATCTATAAAAACACTGAATCATTATGTTGTACACCTAAAATAAATATAGCATTGTAAATCAATTATACTTTAATAAAAATATTTTTATTAAAATGTAATTCACATACTACAAAATTCATCCAAGAAAATAAATATTTTTAAATACAAAAAAGAAAGAAATAGACAAAGTATAAAAACAGAAGCAGAGACTCCATCTACATATCCAACAAGTCCACTGCCTGAGTTTATAGTTACTGATTCAAATGACTCAAACTCCAAAGTAAAATAAAAAATATAGAGCTGAGAATATCCCAAAATGTTTCAATAATCATTAAATATTATTTATGAAGCACGCACATGTAACATATTGTGTCACAGCATACAACTATTTGCTCATCCAAATGAAGTAATAGTCTAGAATTAAATAACATCATTTGCCATTTGTATGTAATAATTATAAAGCTACTATATGTAAGTAAATTTCTCACACTTCTCCAAAGGCTCAACTTCAGAAAACATGCTTATTTTCCCAAAAGGGCAAAAATGTAGCCTTGTTCTTTATATATAAATCAGTTTTCAAATATTTTAAAATTCAACCACATAACATATAGAAATTCATGCCAACTGTGGTGTTTAACAATGTACAAATATTATAAACTATACTGTAACTCAAAATATTTAGGACTATACCATCTAAGGATTATTTAACTAAGGACAGGTGAACAATAATCATGATTTCTGTTTTGCAATCATTTTTGTTTTTACTAATTCCAAAAGTAGAACTCTTTAAATAAAAGAACACAGACTTCTAGAATGAATCAAAAGAGTCCTATCCCAGCCAGAATTTTGTAATAAATGTTACTACTTTATCAACAACCAAACTATGGTAGAAACATCATACTCCATATTAATTGCCCAAGAGTCTTCATGAGTATCTAGCATGCTACATCCTGCTTTCAGAACTGCCAGAACACAACAAGTTGAGGGTCACCACCTGGGCTGAGAAGTGATGCCCAACCACCAATACATCTTGTTCAGGATAAAATGAAGTGAAATACCTATGGAAAGTGATTATATCCCTTTGACTTATGCTCCAACCACAGAGTAAAAGAAAATAACTTTTTGGCTTTAGTTTTACAAATATGGCAACTATCGAGCATGCAGTAGAAATGGTTAGAGTTAAGATTATCATGAATAATATGAATGAGACTATTAACACTTTGAGATAAATAAAACATTGCTGATATGGCCAAGCATGACTTCCCTTTAAGCCTATGGAGGTTATAGTAGTAGGTGCCCCAGTCACTAGGTACGGCAAAGCATTATTTTACTCTGATCTCCTACATTTGAGAGATAATATCAAAAATGAAAAAGTCTCATGAAAACTTGCCATTCTAAGCTACTCTGAAGTTTAAAACTAAAGCTCACCTAACCATCAGAAAAGAAAATATAATTGGTCAGTATTAGGAAGGTCTATCAAGTTGGCAGTGAGCACCAGTGACCAAATTTCAACTTTCTTATCTGATTTCCCACCTTAAATTCTCAAAACCATAAAGTAAATAGATAACGTCAAATCAGCAAACAGGGACAAAACACCTTTCGAGAAAAAAATTTTGGACGAAAATATAAATACAACCTCTCTTCTACTCTGATGAGGCAAGCCAGGTATAACCTCCTGCTCCATTCTGTGATGGGACATTCTACTCATCAGCCTCTACAGACTTTCCATTCTCCAGTACCACCTCCTTTGCCAGCAGGGTGAGAACAAAATCAAACTGATTCCAGTGATAAGAAATGAAATCTGAAATGAATTATCACTAAATCAGCATCTTATACCTTCAACATGAGTATTCCACGAGTCTTTAAGAATATAGGCTGCCAATATTGGCACGTTATTTTCTAAAATGCTCCACGATGCCTGACGATAGGAGACTTCCCACTTCAAGAAGCGGTTACGTACCTCAGCAACATAACAAGGTCGGCATCACTTGAAAGACGCACCAATCCTGGGGTCCCTTCAGTTCGGATAAATTGGATCTTCTCCCTATTCAAGCAAAGAAACAGCTCAAATATGTGTAGTAGACTTTTGGGACATAACTCAGTACTTTAGGCACCATTTTTTTTTTAAACAATGGTCACAACATTTTTTGGGGGGCTATTATATGGCAGCTACTGTGCCCTAGGAATACACATCCAAGAAAAACGTGGTCCTTGCCTTCAAGGAGGACCTCACGAGCATGAACATCACCCAGTCCTAACACTGCCAAAAAAATGATTTTATCGCTTTTATCTTTTGCTGCCTAAATACTACTGTGGGTAGCAGCACCATCCAACCAATAAAACTCAGTTTCTGCTTTGAGTTAAAAGCCTTGTTGTGGGCTTGAATCTAAGCAACAGTCTGGACCATTCAGGCTGACTCTCTCTTATTCCAAAAAGGGAGTGTGTAGGGATGTTCATTTATTTTCCTGAGGATATACCTCTACATTATGTGTAATGAGTACATTCCTACTTGGAAGCAGGTAGTATCTATAAATTATATATTCAATATAAAAGCATATGGCCCACTCAAATAACTGAAACCTAAACCATTTTCAGTTACTACAGTTGGTGAAATAGATTGTGCGTATACTTGTGCAAACGTACATATACATACACATATCAAACACAACGATGTGAGTTATCTGGACCATTATTTTATTATAGTTATATGTAATAACACAAGTTTTTGTTTGTTTGATAAGTCATCGTTTTGCTAGTTTCAATTCTTTGTATGAATATAAATTCAGTAAAATGTTTCCTGGTTGCTTCCCCTCATTTACATCATGCCATTTCAAAGCACACCATATCAATTTTGATAAGATGAGGACAAAAAATAAGAACATAAACTATGGTACTGAAAGCATTACATTTGATAGGAACATAGGGGCCGACACAAGTATACAATTTTACTCTAAGTGCTAAAGACAATATATTCTGATTCCTGTATACTATGAAATAAAATATCAATCTCTGATGTAAGTATTTATTTAGATTTAGTTCTTTTCCACAGAGCATCTTGTTTTCCTATTTGATATTTACACAAAGCTCTAATGAATTTTATATTCCCAAATTTCAAATTCTAATTCAATTGCATGCAGGCTTGAAAGTAATGAGGTGAAAGGCAAGGTTTAATTGTTGAGATGAAAAATTCCCTAATGTACAGAAAAGTCAACTGATATGCTCTTAGCCACACAGCTTACTGGGAATGATAAACAGAGTGTAGTCCTAGGCTTCTTCTGCCTAGATCCATTTTACATAACCTGTTAGCATATGATGCACCTAATCTTTGATATTACCAACTTTTCTTTTTGGTCCTTTATTACCAGTAGCAATATTACATGTTTTATATAATTTTTATATGATCTAATTTTATATTATGAAATTTTAAATTATAGCTATATTATATATTATATATGCTATATATAGTAGCTTGCTACTGGCAATATAGATACAGATATAGCTATACATATAGATGAACGGCAGACATATATATAAAGAAACTATTCAGAAGAGAAAGTCCAGCCTCTCCTCTCTGCTTAAGGTTATTTCAGTCTGAAGTCTCAAATCAAGCAGAACATTTTTCCTCGAGTGCTACAATCATATGTCTGAAGCACATGACAGAAACCAAGGCCCATTATCTGGTAAATGGTTTTTTGATAAGAGATGTAAAAGTTAGTTTAAAGAAAGCTAAATTAGAGAAAAGTTATCTTGGAGAAAAAAATGAACTTGACCAAAGAAGTACTCTTATAAGGGTCAGTAACAATATGCTTTGATCTTGAAGAATCAAAAGCTGCCTCCAATAAATACACAGTTTATCTCCTTAGTCTATCACCACAATGAACGAGGCAAACCGAACACAACGAGAAAAGAAATGGGCTGAGCACTCTCCTCCACTCCTTTAACTGGAACCACACAGAAGGGGTTGAGTGAGGAAAAAGATAGCATGCTCCGGACTATGGCCTGTATGTATCCTGTGATAGCCTGTGAATAAGGAACAGATCATAGCTTCCTGAGTCAGAAGGATGACAGGGTGAGGGAAGGAAAGGGAAAGACACCAGAGTAAACATGCCAATTGGGAAACTTTTCATCATTTTCCAGATATTACCTAATGAGGCAGTGAAGGCAACTGGTCTGATTCTTTGGGCCAGAACATACCAGAGGCAGGCTGAGACTAGTTCTCTATGGGCCCAGCTAATTTATCACAATGGCAAGTGATGGGTCATGTGCTTCCAGAACAAGACACTGGAGCATGTTATCTGATGTACATCACACCACTAAGGACTTTATTATATTAATATGCGTTCATTCAGCAAACATTTTCTGAGTGCCTACTGTGTGCTGGGCATGGTACCCCATACTGGGAATCCAACTGGGTTTAAGACACAGCCCCTTCTCAAAGAGTTCATGGTGCAGTGGAAGACAGTCAGTCCATGGGCAATTCCAGTATGACATGAAAATATTTAAATTATTCCATTCACTTAACTGAGCTCTGTTTAGGCCTTATACCCACTTTTCTTCTAATAAGTCCTTCATAAAGTTATTCCACATAGAAACAAAGAAGGCATTGGTTTATTGACTGTCAAGAAAGCAGATCAAGGCTGAGGAAGAAAAAGAAGTCAGTAGCTATCCTCAGAAATGTCACCAATCTGTCCTGAAGGGGAAAAAACGGGAACTACTCCTCGGTTATCAGGTCCTTGCCCAATATTCTACAGGCTGGTATTTCTTTTCTTTTCTTTGTTTTTTTTTTTTTGCGGTACACGGGCCTCTCACTGTTGTGGCTTCTCCCGTTGCGGAGCACAGGCTCCGGACGCGCAGGCTCAGAGACCATGGTTCATGGGCCCAGCCGCTCCGCGGGATGTGGGATCTTCCCGGACCGGGGCACGAACCCGTGTCCCCTGCATCGGCAGGCAGACTCTCAACCACTGCGCCACCAGGGAAGCCCCAGGCCAGTATTTCTTAAACTGGCGTCATTGCCTACTAGAAATCTACAGACATAATCTTGAGTTCTGGGAGAATTTAAAAATGCTGTGTTTTCACTTTGATGATCAAAACTGCTAACATGAGGTAAGCTATTTTGGACAATCTAGATGACATTCATGACTCAGCATCACTGACTTCACCTCCCATGTTTGCATTTACAAAACACTTGTTGCCAAGTGATCAGAGGTGAACTTTCAGGGTGTTGATGAGCAGGGCCTTGATATTAAATATGATAACAGTCCCTGTCTGCTCCTCACATGCAATTCTTTCACCATTTAAAAAGACAAAACTTTTCTTTGGAAGTATTAATTTGCAAATTAAATGGTCATGATGAAGTGAGACAAGGTAATGTATGTATAACTTGCCATAGGCTAAAGAGAAAACAAAATAAATGGACTTAAGAAGTGAATTGTGCATTTATGCTAAATAAAGCAAAAAAGATGTTATGGTTTATTCTAAGAACAAAAGTTTTAATACAGTTTAGAAGTAGAAAAGTGGCGGTAGAATCATCACAGGGTATGTTTAATGGTATATTTTTCTTCAGTATTGTACTTGGGGGTGCACCATTAAATGAACTGGCTCTTCACATAGATAAAAATAAGCTATTTGTTAAGAAAGAAAAGTGATGACCACAATAATGCCACAGATGCACGATATACCATTAGATGCAAAATCAAAAGAATCGAGTCATAACAAGTGAAACCAAAAGCATAAATGTATCTTTCCACTGACACTCGTCTCAACATCGGTGATCTGGCTTCTGAAAAACAAAACCTTCTCATGATATCATTAATTCAAATGTTATTTTTTTAGTTTTTACGTAATTTATATTTCTTTTGGTTTTATAGCTTATAAAAGCTGTAAGGATAAGAAGTTTATGCATATTTTATATTTGTACACATTTAAGTTTCACTAAAATAAAAGTGGTTAAAATCACCATTGTAGATCTGCAATGCTTCTTTTCCTTTTAGGATGGAAAATAACAGATTTGGCTCCTAAAAAATTTCCATGAGTCCACCCAGTGTCTGAAATAAACATAACAAGTTTGAGAAATGTTGTTGATGATTCACATGACTCTGATTAGAGGGACATTTGAAAGTTACATTAATATATTTATTCAAGTTTATTTTCTAAATTTATAGAGTTAGAAGGAATCCGTGGCAGTCCTCTAATTTCTTTCTTTACTGCCTACACCGTAATGAAGAAATTCTATTCAATTTTAGTGGTTTATAATGAGAATTAAGATTACATTCAAATAACATTTTATCATTTGACCATCTCTGCATGGGCATGTTTCTCACTGTGCCCTTTACAGCACATTCCAGCATTTCCTCCATCGCACGTTCTCACACGGCCACTCAGTTATAACTTCAGTTCCTTTTGAATTGTGAGATCCTAGAGGGCAAAAGCTCTTCCTCCTTTATCTTTGTGCCTCCAAGTACCTAGCACTATGCTGTGCACACAAGAAGTGCTCAGCAAAATCAAACCAGGCACATGATCAGTTAACCCCAAAACAGATTTGGCTCCTAACAAATTTCCCTGTGTCCAACTCAGTATTTGGAATAAACTTATATTTATAGCATTTTTTGTTGTGGTGGAGAAAAGAGAATCAGAAAGCTGACATTAGATTATTTACTAAAACAGAACCCACTGTAGGAAGCACAAAGACAGGTAAAGGCAACCTCTTGATAAGAAAACATAGCTGTTATAACTAAGAGATTTATACAGATGCCAGACTGCAGTGTCTACTGTAGTAGACATAGTGACAACCTCAGGAAAACGTCGCTGGCTACTGCTGTCTCTCAGATGCCCATGGCCTTCAGACCTTGGTAACCACTTCCTCAAATGCATAGAATCACCCTAGAAGATCAACTCAAGCAGAAGATCATCTGAGGAGAAGGAACATAGTCTCAAGACCGGAATTCCCACAGAAAATATCCTCATTGAAACCAACCAACATTTTGGTGAAATTAAAGTAGGGCACGTGATCAAAAACAATCAGAAGCAGGAATGCCTCTAAACCACAACACTCTCTGGATTGTAGATTCTGCACACACATGGTTCCTGTAGATACAGTTTAGTAAAGCTTCAAAAATATATATGTTGTTAAAAACTGCCTTAGGGCAATTTTAGAGAAATCCCCATGGCTTCTCTGATGGTGTAACGTCAAGAAAGTACAATTAGTACCGATCGTTCATATTTCTGATCACAGTCACAGGGCACGGTCTGACTTGAAGGGTAAGAGCCAGGCAGTAGAAAGGTCAACTTTTCTTTCTACTTCCCATTATACAGGTTAGGTTTGGAGATACAGGTCCATTATTATCTTGTGATTCTTATGGACGCACAGAAGTGACATCAATTCGCCATATATGTAGAGGCAATATTTGTTGTAAATGGATATAAATCAACTTTGCGCTAAGAATTCAGAGTTACTTAACTCTCTCTCTGCTCATTTCCTCATCTTGAAGTAAGTATAGTTATACTATCTTCCTCATAGGTTGGTGGAAAGGATTTAATGAACAAATGCAAATAAAATGTTTAGCACAGAACTATTATATAGTAGCACTCAACCATTTTAGGATATTGAGTATATTATAAGATATGCCTTATAATTAGTTATTACTTTTTCAATGGACAGAATCATCTACTGAAAATAGAGCAAAATAAGATGTCTAGTCATACACTCCTTTTTTTGTTTCTGTTGTTGGTAGGTTATTTTAACCATGCTATTTACCTTGGTGAATTCCACAAATATCTATTGATTACTTCTATGACACGCAGTAGATAAGACTCTGACCTCTCCATAAAACTGAAATAATGCTGTGAGTACCTAAGAGATAATACATATGAAGGGTTTACAGTTCTCATAATTCAATGGATAATGGGAAACATTATTCTCAGTAAAGCAAAATTCTATGTAAAGCAAAACCATTTTGGACTCTAAAAAAGGAATTTAGTTATTATACAAAAAAAACCCATGTGATTATAAGACACCTTACCTAAGGCATTCTAACAGCTTACACTGTAAGCCCATCATTATTCTGAAGAATTAGTATCTAGGGTATACTAGAATGCATAACTGGTGGTTTATATTTTCTTATGAATTATAATAATTTATGATGTATTTGATAACAAATGTTTTAACTGAAAATATATTCAGGAATTGAAACTATGTTATATATGAATATATTTTATTTTAAAATCAATATATATATATAAACAAAAGACCCCAATTGGTTATAATATAAGACATTAGAACGGATAAGTCAGTTAAAGAGCGTGTAAAGGGGTAGACAAGGATAAGGCAGTATTTTTTCAACAGTGATATAAAATGACAAGGTAAGGGAAAAAAGAACTTCAGGCACCAATTTTTGGAAAATAGTACTACAAAAACTAGTAGTTTTCTAGATTTGGCAGTTATTATTTAGAAAACTAAAAACAAAAAGTCCACCCACAACCGAAACAAAAACATAAAATACTTTGGGAAAACCTAGACAAGAAACATTCAGTTCCTAAATAAATAAATAAGAAAATTTTATTGTAGGAGATGAAAGGGTTGAACACATGAAAAAAACTGTAGTTGTAGAATAAAACATGGAAAACTAAATATTCTAATCGTATCCAAAGTAATTTAAAAATTTTTTAAAAATCCCCATCAAAATCCCAATGTAATTTAAAAAGTTGAGAACATTATTCAGAATTTCATCTCAATACTCAAAATAATGCTATGTGCTAGAGAATTTTACCCAAGTTTTCAAAATAAATCATTGTTATGCTATCATTTCCTGAGATCTAAAATAACATACTGGAACATACAAAGATATATAAGTTGTTGTATTAAAAAGATGGATTATTTATATATGTGATTTTGTGTACTGGAAATGTAGTTACTTGCCCTTTGGGATAAATAGTTTTAGGTGCTATCATTAAGTCCCAAATATATTGCTATGAAATTGATTAACTTACCAAATATTTCTCAAACACCCACTTTATTCAATATAAGATGTGAGGTCCCATGAGGATTAAAAAGATGAGTAAGTTACATATCTTGACTTCATGTAGCTTGTACTTGACTTGGAATAAAGTGTGTAAGAAAACATATGGTAGAAAAATACGAGATGTTTTTAAACATTTTAAGCACAGATGGTAACATTATGCCATTTCTATTGTAAGCTATAAAATTCAGACACATAAGATACCTGATTTTTGGTATAAGGGCACCCTGATGGGTCTGCAAGAATGTTTTCTGTAAAATGTACCCTCAAGGAACAGAGAGTAAGGACTTATTCAATGGGATGTACCCATTTGTATGTAGGACAATGTGCATGAAATAAGGAAATTTTAACTTTAGCCAAGTAAATTTTTCTGAAGACAGTTCCCATAACTATTTAAACCCACTGCGAAAGACCAAAAAGAAAAAAAAAATTACATTATTAACATAGAGGGGATGTGTATTTTGTTTGCTTTGTAAGAAATGTTTCTGATTTACTAATAACTTAGAAATTTAAATACATATGTAAAAATCATATTTCATTGAAAACCATTTTGTGCTATCACAAATGGTAATGCATTCCGCATGACTTTATTATTCTCTTGAGTTTGGGAAAGGCATTGAGGCTGGAATCCATACTGATATTTTTCTTTGGTCCACACAGAGTCCACATCTGATGAGCTACTGAAGAAGGATGACATTTTGCTGAACTCTTTTCTTGATAAATGCAACAGAATATAGCAAAAATCAATAGTGGAACAGACATACCTAAAACATGGTTATTCTTCATGTAAGAAAATGGTTTGAAAACCCTGACTGAACCATTTGTTAGCCAGAAAATACAAGGCTTCGGAATAAATATCCAGTGGATGAACATATTCGTAATTTGGGAAATCTTGAAAAGTTATATGAAGGAATTTTATTTATGGGAAAGTGGTTTAACAAATACCTGGGTGTAATACTTAAAGAGAATCTAAACTAATCTTGGCTATGAGGGTTTTTCTTTTGGGCCCCTTTTATCTTAAGTGATTGTATAGTTATTTAAAAATTAATCGTTACAAGATTCCACGCATGGAAAATGTGAAAACTACACATTTACAGGATGTACATGTCAAAAGCCTATACACTACTACATCTTGGCATATCCATTCACATAAAACATAAGCAGCAATTATTCCTTCTGCAGAAGCCGTAGAATAGATATCAAGGACTAAGAATCTGTGTTCCTTACTGTCCTAGGTAGCAATATCTCAAACCTCTCATTAGATCTACGAGAAGATTATTGCCTGAGAAGATGTTTTAATTCAACTTTGGATGGCTTCTAAAATGTTATGTCAGTGACTTTGCCATGATGTTTGGCCTTCAGTAATTTGTACTGAACCTTGAGCCAGAAGGCTCAGTCCTCTGTGCAGGCATGGAGCAGTGAAGGCTGGTTTCATCACATACATGTAAACAATTTTAGAACAAAGCTTCCTATAGGACACAGTATAAGCACAACACTAGAAAACCTTCCTACACAGAAGTTAATTATGGAACTCAAGGTACCCTTCCTGTATTTTAACTATGTCCACAGAATCACATGATGCCATTTATGCATATGATCAGTCTTAGGGATAATGGTATTGAGAATCAGTACATTTAGGGGTAAATTACTTTAAACTGAGTCCTTGTAATACAATAAAGAAGTGAAGGACAGATTACTAATACAATATTACTTTAAATTTGTTGTATGCTTTCTATTGCTTACGTTGTACCAGGGGCTGTAAATACATTATCACATTTAATCTTCAAAAGGACACTGCAAGTTAGAAATTCCTATCACCATTTTACAGATGGGGAAACTAAGAGTTGGAGGGGTTAAATGCCTCATTCAAAGTCTGGTGAGTAAACTGCAGAGCCAGAATTCAAACCAGGTCTGTTTGACCCCAAACCTGAACTCTTTAAGATCTATATTCTACTACTTTCTAAGTGTCATTATTAATGCTGGTCTCCCAGTTGGGAGACAGACCAGAACTCTCCAAATAACACTATGTGGTGTCAATAAATTATTTTAATCAGGTGTTTAAAAAAATTCAGGAATTATGCTTATGCAAATTTTTCATAGGAAAATAATAGTTTCAATGCAGTTTTCCTGTTACATAAACAGGAAAGTTTGTCATGTCGGTTCCAGACATCTGAGAGAACAGTAAACAAATAAGGAGAAGACGATGAGACAGAGCTAGGCAGGTCATAACAGGAAAATGCATAAAGATTGGCAAAGGGAAATTTATGCTATTCTGACCAAGTAGATCAGATGTTAACTGAGATTAACATTTCCAGCCCAATAGTAAATGCAGAAAAACTCATCTGTTAGAAAACTGGACAAGAAATAAGTTAGAAATTTTGAACACTGGAATTTGTTTTATGAAAGCCAGCTTTTGGGAACTTTAACTTTTTATTTCATAAAATTCTGTATTGCTTGATAATTTCACAATGGATGCACTATTTTTAAAATGAAAACAAAATTAAGAGTATAATTTTAGCAATAACAAAATTCTAGGGCTCTTAAAATGGGATTATGGGAAGAAATAAAAGGTCAGAGTCTGCATTTGCTTCTATTCTGGTGAACCCTGAGAGACGTATTCATTTACCTTTTTTTTTTTTTTTTGCAGTACTCTGACCTCTCACTGTTGTGGCCTCTCCCGTTACGGAGCACAGGCTCCGGACACACAGGCTCAGCGGCCATGGCTCACGGGCCTAGCGGCTCCACGGCATGTGGGATCTTCCCGGACCGGGGCACGAACCCGTGTCCCCTGCTTCAGCAGGCGGACTCTCAACCACTGCGCCACCAGGGAAGCCCCTCATTTACTTTTTGTAGCTCAGAATTTCTTGACTTCCAAGTTATTGATTTACCAGTGACATAAAATAGGAAATGGCCCAATTTATCCAGAAGAGAAAAAAAAGGTATCACAGGTCACATCCTCATGGGAAGGACATTTTTTTAGGAAGCACTCAAGGAGGAATTGACCTAGAGCCCAAAATAATTATCACTGATGTCTGAGGAAAGCTGGACTAGTAGGGAGTAGATTTACTGGTTGAATCCAATAGTCACACAAAAGGGGAATTCTCAACTCAATTCAGTTTCATGGTACTTAGCTCCTTGTTCATAATACAATGTTGTACACCAAAAAGTTTATTCAATTTGTATACATTACATTCATCTGTAAAATATGCTTAAAAGGTTGTTTTTTAAATGAACACAGTTTTTTAAATGAATACATTTGTCTTTGGATAAAATATTAGAGCATTTTATTTTAATGTTATAAAGCTTTTTAGTAGGATTACTGTCTTTCACTGAGAACCAAGAGTAGGATATACTAATCCAACGGAACTTGATCCATTTGATGGAGGTGGTACTGACTTCTGGATGTTGAGTTTTCTGAGCAAAACTCTTCTGAGGTTAAAAAAAAAAAAAAAAAAGAGGACAACTTGGTAGCATGCACATTTGCTTGATAGATGAAGTTAGAAGAAGTGGTGATTTGAAAACAGCAGTTGAAAGCAAAAGCCACATCCCAATGCACGAAAAACCATAGCCATTCTACAGGAAAAGATACACAAGGCGGGTCTCAAGGAGGAGAAAGCTGTATATGGATACAAACTAAACAAACTGTTTGCTATCCTCTGGATAGCAAGGAATCGCAAGCAAAACAAGAAAATCACAAAGCACAGAGGTGTACCTACTTGAATCTCCCAAGGGCTGATGCTTATTTCCTCATTATGTTATGGAGAAAATAAGAAGGGATATTTCCTTTAAGTGGCTGTACCACGGGTGATGAACAGTGTACACAGAGCTCGGGATATGAATATAGGTCCACAGTTAGCTTTGACACACAATCAGTGGCTCCATTCCATGCATAAACTTCTCATCAAATGTATCACTGAAATATGAGATTGAAGAACCCCAGCGAGTTCCCCGCCCCTTCATTTGTGGGAATGCTCCTTACAATGCAGTTTTTAACTATATGAAACAGGGTGTTCCTTTAGATGTACAAACTTCCCTATTATGTTGTTATGATAAGCAAAATGCTAAACTATCAACAGCTTTTCAGACTAAAAGCACACTGTGACACACACTCTGTGTAAGAGGAACAGCATTATCTCATTGATGTAAGTTCCTGCTTCTTTCTACTTGTCATGACCGCTCATGCTTTCTATGGTCAAATTCTATAGCTATAGAAAGAGTAAAAGGAAATTTATAAATAAGTTTTGAAATAAGATGGAAACTTATTTTAAAACCTATCAAATAATATCTTAGCAATAGACTACCACGTGAGATGTACTTAACTGAGGACCCCGGGTGTCATTAAAAAATAAAAATCTTCAACAATCTTTAGGAGATTAGAGCCTTTTAAGACTCTAAAAAGCAGAAAGGAAAACAAAAACAAAACTGGAAGCTACCAAAGGGGCCTGCAGCTTTTTCTTCTTCAGGATTGGTTAAGGATCTCTTAAGTCATTAAAGAAAAATGATGTTAGGGCTTCCCTGGCAGCGCAGTGGTTGAGAGTCTGCCTGCCGATGCAGGGGACACGGGTTCGTGCCCCGGTCCAGGAAGATCCCACATGCTGCGGAGCGGCTGGGCCCGTGAGCCATGGCCGCTGAGCCTGCGCGTCCGGAGCCTGTGCTCCGCAATGGGAGAGGCCACAACAGTGAGAGGCCTTAGTACCGCAAAAAAAAAAAAAAAAAAAAAAAGGGAAAAAGGTTTTAGATCTCTTTTTCAGGTAGATTATAATATTTTTTTTCTCTGATGAGAGAGATGTGAAGATATGTTAAATTAATAATAATGTGGAGGTGCAGAGCAAAAGTAGAAAACTTCTTGAGTTCCCTTTTTCTTGCTTTTTGCTGCGGCACGGTTCTTTCAGAGGAACAGATATTGACTAGACGTGGGGGGAGGAGGGGTTGTGGCTGAAGTTGGTAACAAAGAGAGAAAATAGAGTTCTCCTTATTTTGTGCTTTGCGAAAGAGCAGGGATTTTGTTTGTATGCTTGTTTCTTTTGTTTTTCAGCCCAGAACCTCTAAGATCTCTCATTAGAAAACTGAGGGGCTCATTTCTGCAACGTTATTTTTACAGAAGACTCTCTAGAGGACCATGAGTTGCTGAGTAGATGCTATAATATACAAATATACAAAATTAAAGCTTATATAGTTTTTATAAGTTTTCCTGACTGAGAACAGCACGCTTACCAAGTTGGGGAAAACACTGAAACCTGAGTTAGATGTTAACTATGTGAAACCAGGAGTTCTGTATAAGCAATGTTTGTACTATCATACTTGAAATTATGTGTACTTCTAGCCTTTAGAAACTTTAGAAAGTAATGATGATTTTAAAGATATGAGAGACTAAGAACATCATAAGAAGGATATCTGGTAAATTATATTTCATATAAACATATACCTACATTTCATATTTCATATCGACATATACCTACATTTACTATATATGCAAAGTGCTATTCTAGATATTTCAGCAGTGAGGAAGGAGAAATAATGAGGAGTTGGATGAGATCCCTACTTGCAAGGAGCTTATAACCTAATTGGAAAATTAAGCATAAGGACTTGAAAACTCAAATTAAATCACAAAAGTCACATAACCAAAATAATAGGAGGGACAACTTGATACATAATTAATGATCAAATTAGTGTCTAGACCAGAGGTTATGACACCTGGATGGGCCACTGGAATTACACAGAGTTTTTTTTTAACATCTTTATTAGAGTATAATTGCTTTACAATGCTGTGTCAGTTTCTGCTTTATAACAAAGTGAATCAGTTATCTATATACATATGTCCCCATATCTCTTCCCTCTTGCATCTCCCTCCCTCCCACCCTCCCTAAACCACCCCTCTAGGTGGTCACAAAGCACCGAGCTGATCTCCCTGTGCTATGCAGCTGCTTCCCACTAGCTATCTATTTTACGTTTGGCAGTGTATATATGTCCATGCCACTCTCTCACTTTGTCTCAGCTTACCCTTCCCCCTCCCCATGTCCTCAAGTCCATTCTCTAGTAGGTCTGCATCTTTATTCCTGTCTTGCCCCTAGGTTCTTTTTTTTTTAGATTCCATATATATGTGTTAGCATACGGTATTTGTTTTTCTCTTTCTGACTTATTTCACTCTGTATGACACTCTCTAGGTCCATCCACGTCACTACAAATAACTCAGTTTCATTCCTTTTTATGGCTGAGTAATATTCTGTTGTATATATGTGCCACATCTTCTTTATCCATTCATCTGTTGATGGACACTTAGGTTGCTTCCATGTCCTGGCTATTGTAAATAGAGCTGCAATGAATATTTTGGTACATGACTCTTTTTGAATTATGGTTTTCTCAGGGTATATGTCCAGTAGCGGGATTCCTGGGTCGTATGGTAGTTCTATGTTTAGTTTTTTGAGGAACCTCCATACTGTTCTCCATAGTGGCTGTATCAATTTACATTCGACCAACAGTGCAGGAGGGTTCCCTTTTCTCCACACCCTCTCCAGCATTTATTGTTTCTAGATATTTTGATGATGGCCATTCTGACCGGTGTGAGATGATATCTCATTGTACTTTTGATTTGCATTTCTCTAATGATTAATGATGTTGAGCATTCTTTCATGTGTTTGTTGGCAATCTGTATATCTTCTTTGGAGAAATGTCTATTTAAGTCTTCTGCCCATTTTTGGATTGGGTTGTTTGCTTTTTTTATATTGAGCTGCATGAGTTGCTTGTATGTTTTAGAGATTAATCCTTTGTCAGTTGCTTCATTTGCAAATATTTTCTCCCATTCTGAGGGTTGTCTTTTCATCTTGTTTATGGCTTCCTTTGCTGTGCGAAAGCTTTGAAGTTTCATTAGGTCCCATTTGTTTCTTTTTGTTTTTATTTCCATTTCTCTAGGAGGTGGGTGAAAAAGGATCTTGCTGTGATTTATGTCACAGAGTGTTCTGCCTATGTTTTCCTCTAAGAGTTTGATGGTGTCTGGCCTTACATTTAGGTCTTTAATCCATTTTGAGTTTATTTTTGTGTATGGTGTTAGGGAGTGTTCTAATTTCAATCTTTTACATGTAGCTGTCCAGTTTTCCAGCACCACTTATTGAAGAGGCTGTCTTTTCTCCACTGTATATTCTTGCCTCATTTATCAAAAATAAGGTGACCATATGTGTGTGGGTTTATCTCTGGGCTTTCTATCCTGTTCCATTGATCTATATTTCT